ACACACGAGTTTGTTAGCAAATATCTATGTTGCGATTGCTGCTGCGAATTAAAAGCTGCTTTTGTTAGTCTTTTGGTTAATAATCCTTAGAGGAATACAAATTGTTTGAAAAAGATCAAAAATACCCAACACATGAGAGAAAAAGTAATGAAAGTAGCACGCAAATATGAAAATGGTAGACGAGTGAAGATATCCTCTTTTATGTCACATTTAATTTTCATGGAAGGTTGTAAAAGCATTATTGTTGAATGTTCTCGTGTATGTTTGTATAAACTGTATTGCCATTCAGTTAGCATTTTGCATACAACTATTTTTACTTGTCTGTTAGGTGTTTTTCATAAAAATAAAATTTCAATGTACCTACTTCCATGCTAATAAAAATATGAAACAATGTTTATAGCGTATCTTTTTGTTAGCATTAAACAAAAGGTGCAGAGACTTCTAGAATCAATACAGCAGATTTTTATTGATATTTTCTGTATTGAATATCTCATCGTCATCGCAGTAAGAGAAGTATTGTAATTACAGCACTGGTAATATTGTGTAGCTAGTAAATAAATATATAGATCAAGTCTGTTTGAATATTTAGTCTTAGTTCATTATTTTATTTTTTCAATTTGTTTAAATTTATATGTAAGTCTTATCAAATATAATATCTAAGGTTTTTTACATTTTTCATTAATACGACTATTTTATCAAAATTGAGCACATGTGTAAAAATAAATATAACGGAAATTACAGCAACAGCAATAATCAAGTATTTATTGCCAAACTTATTGTGTTACAAAAACCGAAAAACTTTGCTAACAGCAACGCCGGAAGTTACATTAAAGTTATACAGTAACTTATTTCCTCTCATTGGTTGTAGTCATTAATAATATGCACACATAAACCATATTTAATTGCATTGAAAATACGTTGAATTTAATTTACATAAATAATAAATTGAACTGAAAAATAAACAAAACTAGCATTTAGAATGAATTCAAGTGTAATTCAATTGTTAATATTTTATTGTGACTCATAAAATCATGTATGGTTGCAGCATACATTCAGCACAGATTGGCATGGCGTATGAGTCACATTTTAGATAGTATGAAAACCTTTTTTATTTGAAAATATATCTTCACGAAATTTGTTACGGATTATTCTCCAAAGCAACATTACAGTATTCGCCAAACTTTTTTCAGATCGGATAACTATAGCATATAGCTGGCATACAAACTGACCGCTAAAAGTTGAGTTATTACTTATAAGAAAAACGCTTTTATTTGACAAAATATCTTCACGATATTGGTCATGGCTTACTTTCCATGGTAACGGTATATTCCTCGAACATATGGTTCAGATCAGAACACTATAGCATAGAGCTGTCATGTAAATTGATCGACCAAAATCTGCCTACAGATTTTTTATACCCTTTTATGCTATTTGAAACACGCCTATAAAGGGTATTATAGTCTCTGTTCAATCGAAATTATAAAAAATATAAAATATAATTATTCATTAACGACATTATTTTATAATTCAAACATTTTTAAGTCTTCATTGAAAATAACAAGCTTAAATGTGTGTTCGTCTTTGTTTCCCCTTAATCAGCCATACAAGCCATAGCAAATATACGTCTTCAATGATAATGGCTAATCAAATGAAGCCTTTTATTTATAGACAACCATCACAAGACAACATTTATTCGCAATTTTTCTTTTTTGTGGAATTGACTTACTTTTTCAATTCAATTAAATTTAAATTTACTAAACTCTTTGGAAAGCCAAAGAATTGCGCGCTAAACGAGTAAATTATAAACCGGTAAAAAAATGTGAAGCAACAGAAAATAAATTAAGAAGGATCATTCTCATGAAAATTATCTTCTTTTGTATATTTTATATTAAATTATACTTTAAACACTAAAAACCCTTCTTAATGCCCTTTCGTTTAAACTTCACTTAGTTTCAGAAACATAATGAGTTTTTCAGATCTTCACTCGAAAGCGCCGAGGTTTACTATACGGACATAAATATGGGCGAGATATCCTTTTTTATATTGTTTGTGGTAAATTCTGCTTTAATTAATTTTAATTCCATTTAAGTGCCGAACTTGAAAAAAAGCAATGCTATATTTGCACGTAACTTTCAACAAATATTCATACATACAGACCCATTAATAAAGAAAATCAGCAAACAAACAATCTAGTTTTGAATTTAAGTCGACCATTAACTAGTAGAATGATTGTGTAGGCGCTCTTCAACTCCTTCTCTCTTCGTTTTACCGCACAAAGCCAGCTGCTTCTTCTTAATCTCGGTCAAAGCATTAAAAGTTTGCTCGTTTAATGCAAACAAAATGGATGTAAATGCCGTTATTAAAGCTTGCCTGCATTTCCTCGCCAACACACAGGCAGTCCATCAGTCCCTCAGTCCGTTAGAGCAAGGCAACTCGTTTTATAACACACACTACGGCTCTCTCCTGCCTAATGGCAAGTGATTGTGTAAATTTGCGTTGCTTGTTTAACCGCCGTCGGCTATTATTTCGTCGGTTAAAGTAGCGGCGAACAAGCGGAAACGGTCATAAACATAACAAATTTTGAATATTATGTCTTGTAAAGTTTACATTTTAATGTGTATGTCCATTATCCGAACCTCTGAATGTGTGTGTACATCGTTAAAAGGATATTTGTTGGGTAGTTGCAATGACTTTGAGAACGGTAGGGTACCAAGAAGAAGGTAGAGATTGGGCACTCATTTGTTGAAAGTCACTTTGGTAAGTAAATATTTTCAAATATTTAATTTTTTGTTTGTAGAAAGTTGCGAACTGTCCTTTATCGGTTGGCTTTTTCAGCTTTAAAAGTTGGGTTTTGCGGTCTTAAAGTTAAGTTGGTCAAAAGATTTATACAATTTGGCGAAGCATTAAAGTTTTGACTTCACAGCCTGCATAATAAAGACTTACACATAAATTTCCAAGTTCATTAAAATACTTTTGTACAATCCACTTACCTGTATGAATTTAAATTTTATGAAGGCAAATGTTGCACATTAAAAGTTTATGTTTAAGCACATCGTAAAATACAATCGATCAGTAGAACAGCAGGAATTTACAAAAGGTTTGATTCGGTTAGGTGTTCGATTGCCGACGGAGAGCACGACAAACTCACTTGACCAACTCCCTCAGAAGTTGGTTTTACCATTCCGAGGTTCCTTTTCCTTCGTACGGTCTTGTTCTATGTATGTCGCGACTAATTTTCCAAGACCCATAGAATTTGTTCAAAAATTTTCTCTTCAACAACCAAATATCTGTCTCAATCAATGACTCTTCCAGATAAATATTCATTATTATGATTTATGAATAGAGATCTATGACTATTGATTTTGACAATTCTTTCAATAGTGCTTAGTGACCAAAGATTCAAGGATCGTTAACGAAATCGGTGTTGAATTCCAAGGAAATTGAAGATGAAACGTAACGTAACGACGAAAAGAAAAGATTTTGATGATGTCCTAACATAAACGAAATTATGTCAATACGCCAAAGTCTTTTTATTATGACCAACTGCAATTCGGAAGAGGCCCAACAAGTTTTATATTTAAGGCCTCAAACATCAATGAAACATGATTCTTAAAATAGCATCTGATGAAATTTCTACAGGTTCATTGAAACTGCGCGCTAAAACCGAATTGATTAACTATGTTTTCCTAGATTGGTTCAACCTGTTTTAATGTTGCTATGAAGTTTGATCTTCATATGTAAATTAGTGTGTTCTGTGGTTTCTACTTTATCAGGAACACAACTCTTTGAGGCGAATAAAGTAATATTATAGGTCGCGAGATCATCGAAAACTTGCCACATGCAAGTCGTAATCCACTTCTGTTAATGATGTCAACATTGAAATAGTTCAAGAAAATGTGCTTAAAAACTATCGTATTGGCATTACTCAACACATTTTGATCAATATTTTAGGTATGAAGGGCGTCAATGCTAGAAAAAGATTTAAATACCTAAACCTTTTACAACAACGACTTTGAGTAAGGATCCCAAAGGAGATGTTTGACAACGTAGCTGAAGACTCTGTATTCATTAAACTCATCATGACTGGTGGATTTACGAATAATACGACAAAACCATAGAACAATCTAGCAAATGGCGCTCCAAAAATGAGCCGAACCAAAAAAACCACGTCACAGTGGGTCACAAATCCAAAAAATGCTCACACATTTTCTGTGATTACCGAGGGGAGGTTCACCATTAATTCGTTCCACAGTGTTAAATGATTAATAAGGATTCCTACTTGGCCATTTTGAGGCTTCTACGATTAATAGTAAACAACCAGATTTATGTTCCGAAAATTGATGGATTTTTCATTATGATAATGCGACGTCATATTTTAGCATGATCATAACTGACTTTTTTGCCAAACACGAAACGAAAGTCAACGTTCCGCTACCGTATTTAACTGACTTGGGTTTCTGCAATATTTTTCAGTTATTTCCGGAGGCCAGAGAAGACATTAAAAGTATTGCGCTGAAGGCACTGTAGGTTATCCCGGCCGAAGCTTATATCAAGTGTATGGAAAGTTGAATTATGCTGGTGATGAAAGAGAATATTTTGAAGACTATACAAGTAATAAAGAATTGTATTAAAATACGTAAAAATGTATTTTTTGACAAGATTAGAGATTTAGTCATTGCTTAATAATGCTCCCTAGATAGTAGGGATAATGTATGATAATTCTTAATAAATTGAAGATATTTTATATGGTTTCTCGAACTACCATCTTCTTACTTTTAACGTCGATAAAGAGTTTCCAAAAAAGTCTTCAAGTAGAAAAAAAAAACCATTTCATTTGTTAACATTGATACTTTCGTATATTCTTTATTACATAATATTTTATTTTTCTATTTTTTTATTTATATGTATGCAAATATGTATTGTATAAGTACAGAACTCGTATAGGGCATGGTACATCGAACTTAATACTTATGCTATTGAATTTTTATGGCGCATGTTAATATATGTTTATATATAAATGAAATATTTTTATTACAATATTTAGTTCGATTGAGCGCGAATACCACTTTTAACGGTTTTGCACTACTTGGCGACATTAAATCAATTAGTGAATAAAATACACGAGCTACGAAAAAAATATTTATAATTTTTATGTAAATGAGTAAGTGATTTTGCTACGCTTAAATTTAATTTTTTTTTATTTACATTATTTTTTTCGCTTTTCAAAGTAAATATGTGTGTGTATGCATTTAAAATATATATCTCCTTGTAATTTTAATTAAGTACTTATGTGTGTGTAAACGACATGAAAATATTGCGAAGAAGTCTTTTGTGTTCAATTTTAGATATATTATAAATATGTAATTATAGATAGACATTCATATAGTTTTTTTGTTATTGTTAGTTTTTAACTTTTTTATTAAATCTCTGTATAAATTTTTAATTCGAATTTTTCGCAACGCTGAACCGATACAATAGACAACTCATTTTTTACATATTAAATAATTTTTTTTTTTTTATTAAATAAAATCAGTGCATATATTGCATGTTGTAAATATGAATTCATAAATAGTATATGTTTGTTGCTATGCGTCACTATAATCGATTTAGCTACTATTTCGATATTCGATTTTCGCATTGATTTTTCGATTCACTACTAACTTTTCGCTATGCATTTTCTTTATCATATTTTATAGTCCATAGGTTTTTTTTTTTATAATTGCTATTTAATAAATTAAATATAAGTATGTCTGCATTCATAATAAACAGTTATATTTTCTTTAGTTTTTTGCTTCATTCATTGTTATAAATAAATATAAATTTTCAATCTACAAGTACAACATTTATAAAGAGCCTCTCATCGCTAACACTACGTACATACGCGTACTAAATAGTATCAATAAGTTTATGATAATATAATAATGCTTTTAATATGCAACTATTTAACTACTTTTGCTTTTTTAATAGGTTAACTATCAAATTTTTATTTAAAATTTTAGACTTATTAAATAAATAAAAAGTTAAAAAATTTGTTTAAAAAAATAATTTTAGAATAATAAAATAAAATACTAAATTATAATTAATTATTAAATTATAAGTAATTGCTCACGTTTCAAAAAGGACGAGTATCCTTTTTAAACTACTCATAATTTCATGTTAAGTTAGTGACACTTTTACTCAAATTTAATAGACAACAGACATTTTAGTAATTTAACGAGTGTTCGTTTTCCACTAGCTTAAAAAAAGGAAACTTGGTAAAAAATTTAATTTTAGTTGAGAAAATTTTCTTAATTATATCTTTCTGCATTTAGATCAAGCCCTTTCAACTCTGGATAGAGAACCCAATACATTGTTTTTAAAGAGGTAAATGCTGGTGGTTTTCCAGCAAGTACTCAAGATCACTACTGAGAAAACATTGATTTTATTTGAAAATTTTTGGGAAGTATTTACAAATATTAGGTGTAGTAAACAGAAAGTTTGGGAGTTTTTGGGAGGTTCTTATGCATCCACCTTATAGTCCGGAGCTGACACCAAGTGATTACCATCTGTTCCTGTCAATGGCAAACAATTTTGCTGGTGAAAAATTCGCTTCAAGATAGGCTTGTGAAAATCGACTGTCTCAATATTTGCCAATAGGAACGAAGAGAGGCATAATGAAATTACCCTTAAAATGGAAAAAAGTTATCGAACAAAACGGCGCATATTTGACCTAAATCGGATCATTTTAACAATTAATGGATTTATTTTTACTACACCTAATATATCATTATAGAATTTCCTAATATCAAGACGATACTGTGTAACTTAATAGAACTTGATAAAATAATTATCAAATATGTGATAAGCTCGTTAAACTACAGATAAGGAAATGAAATGGAAGTTGATCGGATACAATTTTAATTATATCATGCAATAATATTAGCATGATATATTTATATTTTTTAAGGAAACTGTGCCAAGATTTTAAAAAACGAAAAACACAAAATAATAACAAAAAAAAACCACAAAAAAATACCAAACAAAATAAATCTTAGAAACAAACAGTTTAAAGTATGCATTTACTTACAAAAGATTCTTCGAAAATGCTGCGAGCGAAAAACTCAATCCAACCAAGTGATGAAAATCAACGCATATACATACAAATATTCAGATATATATAAATAAAACAAAGACCATAATTAGTTTCTTTTAAAAAGAATGAATTTGATTATTTGTTTTAATCATAAGTACTCATAGGCAAATGTCAATTGCTTTTAACAGCATTTTTTCAGCAACTCTGTGCTTACAATAAAATATTTGCAATTATTGCAATTTATTATTTAAATTGTTTGCATTTTCTATTTTGTATTAATAACAATTATAATTTCTTTTCTCTTATATTGTTAAGAATATACAATATATAATGGATAATAAACATGAATTATTTAATGTATGTATGTGTGAGCTTGTGTATTTAGGTGAGCGTATGTATATATATGGTTATTACCATACATATTTATATATGTATATAATGCTTACGTATCGGTGATACAAATGTGTGTATGTGAAATATGCAATAAATTGTTTGACAATGCAAACTGAAGAACAACTACCCGTATATAAGACTATATGTATGTATGTATTTGTATTATGTATATTTGTATTTATTATACTCGTATTAATATATAAGTATATATATGTATATGTGTCTATATCGCTTTTTCAAAGCATTTCGAAAAATTTCTTTACAAATATTTACGCCTATTTACACTGCAACAGTTATGTCAGTGTAACAATGTAAGATTTTGCAACAACAAAATGGCGTGTAAACTATACAAAATTGTTTGGCAATTAATGCGCATAAATATTATGTTTGTTTGTATGTATGTATGTAGGTCGTTCACGCTTTCATTTGCATTTTTCATTAGTAAATTGTTACAAATCTTTTCAATATATGGCATGCGACAGCGCTATATACAATTAGTTATACATATGCATATGTATAACGCTTATTTGCATTTATTGTTTGCCGTAAATAAGTGTTTAATGCTTAGATTATTATCATATCGTTAGCACAGTTGTTTAAATATTTAATTGTTGTAAACAAAATTTTTTTTTCTTATCAAAAAAACGCAAGTGAAATGAAAAACTTTCAACTAAAACTATCACAACGTTTGAATGGGCGCATCGCAATATAAATATTTGCCAATAATGCTAATAAAAAAAACATACATTAGTGAAAAAAGTAGTAATATTTTAAAAAAAAATCAAAATTTTATTTTTTTCTGAGAAGAAATGGATAATATGGAAAGAAGTGAAATAATTTATCATAAAATATAAGGATTACAATATTTTTTAAAAGAAAGAAACTGCAAAAATTATATAAAACTATAATATATAATTTTTGTAGTAAAAAAATATTATTGTTAAAGATAACGGCTTTAAGATATAATTTTTAAAGTAAAAAAGTTTTGTTAAAGCTTATTAATTGTTTAAGTAAAAAAAAAAAAATTTAACAAAAACAATATTTAAAATTTACTATACAAAAAAAAATGAAGCATATTACTAGGTTTAGTACAAAAATTATCAGTGAATAAATGTAACAATTTATTTATTATTATATTTGAAGCAATATTTTGGTTACCAATGTTTTTTTTTTTAATAAATTTAATTGCAGTTAAAAATTAATCGTTTTTTATAAAGTCAATACTTCAATGAAATATAATATAAAAATATTTTTTGTTTAATTTTAGAACAGCTTTTTTTTTATTTCAACTTAAAATATTAAACCATTTATTTGTAAGTAAAAAATGTCTTTCAAAAATTTTAGATCAAAAATTAGATATGAAAAACAAAGATATAATAAATTAATATGGTAAAATATAATGAAAAAATTTAATAACTATTATTCTCTGTAGCAACATGTTGCAAGAGTATATAAAGACAAATTTCATATATTAGCCACTTTTACCATGCATTAATAAAAATGCGAGAATCAAAGTAAAAAAATTTGTTTGCAAATATTAAAGAAATAGCAAACTATTAGTAAATTTAAGCACGTATAAGATCTTAAGGTATTAAAACTGCATTAAATATTTTAAAAAAATATTAAAGTACTAGAAAAAATGATTAATGTTACAAAATTTGTTCTTATAAAAATTAAAAAAAAAGATTGTAAATATACAAGTCCAAAAAATATTTAAAATTGTTGCACATTTCATAACCAAAAATGTTATTTTTACAAATAGCAATATTTTAATAAAGTAAAAAAATTAATTTTTTTTCGAAAATTATATTACATTTCAAAATTATATTGCAAACAGCACAAACATATATGTTACATATAAAGAATATAATATATAAGAATGGTGTTGTTTGATCTCAATTATTTTTAGAAGCAAAGAAATTATATTTTTCTTCAACTTGTAATGGTTATATAATTGCACCATACAAATTGAAAAAAAATTTATATCAAAATTTAGTTATTCAAAAAAGTATTCGAAAATGTTTTTCAAAAAATTATTTAAAACGAAGTTTAGTACCTGTAATTTTATGTTACTATTCATCGTAAATAAATTTATCGCGTCAAAAAATTAAACAATGTTTTAAGTAGCTATAATAAAATGAAAGTCGTTATGCCTTCTCACTTAAAAAAAGAAATATTCTCATACATTTTTCATCTTTTATGCTAATCTGTTTCTTAAAAGCTTGAGCACACGCCTTCATAAGCTCAAATTAGTATTTTATAATTGTCATAGCATGCATAATCTTTAAATTAGTTGCAATTTAATCGAAATTGTACTTTTTTAATAAAATAAATTTCAAGTATTTTTCGTGTTCATTTTGTTCTTTTATTATATATAGGTATGTATAAATATTGGTTGTACATCAAATAGCGTTTTTGTTTTCGCGAAAATGTTGCATATTCTCAATACACAATACTATGCGCTCTTCCTTTCCACTTCAACTTTCTTTCTATATAATAATTTAGCATATTATAGCGCTCTTTTGCTTCTAAGCCTTTTTATTTTGTTTTATTTTCATTTGTGTATTTCCTTTTCTTTACTTTTTTTCTTTGTTTAGCTTCAAATTGCGCTTCACCACTTAAAAACTAAAAAGTTGTTTTGTGAATTTTATAAAAATTAACACAGTTGGTCACAAGAGCTTAAACAACTAAATAACTGTTTGATGGCTCTGCGTTACATAAGTAAAACGCAATATTACAATCGCTTTTGGTACACAATATATATATATGTATATAGAGCTTTTTTTATAAATGATATGAAAAGTAAACATATATAATTTGTTTTATTGCTAAAACTAATATAACAATGGGTTTATATAGAAATATATTTGTTTTTTGTTTTTGTCATGACAATAAATCAATAGAACAATATAAAATACAATAAAAATAGTAATGAAAAATAACAGTAAATAATTGGAAACCATATTTTTTTTTTCAATCACTAATTTCTAAAGAAACATCGATAAATTTTAATTCGCCGCGTTAACCAACACTGCACTGCTGCTGTTGGCGAGTGTCTTCCGACTCGCATGTAAAATAAGTAGAGCGTTCGTTGGTGTGTTGTAACGCGAAGCTTTCGAGCTGTAAAACAAAACTTTCGTGCTGTAAAACAAAGTTCTCGTGCTTTCGTGCTTTGGTTACTGCCGAAGCTTAACGGCTGTTGCGTTGTGCTACTAGCTAGACCGCAGCTTTAAACAAGTTACTTCTCCGGGCAAGCGCTGAAGTAAGAACAAAACAAAATTGCCGTCACACACAAATTTGTAAACAAATTGAGCTTTTTCGGCACACGTCGACATTTGTTGTTGTAAAAAGAATTATATACTTTCCGCGTAGCTTTTGCCAAAGCGCTTTTCGCCGCTTGTGCGTCACACTTTAGGCAAATGAGCGCTTCTGCTTCTTGATAAGCTCCTGCAGCAGACGTGTCTTTGCCTTCTTCTCTTTGTACTGCGCATATGTCTCTTCGATAGTTTTGCGATCGTTCTTCAACATTTTGCGACCATTTTGCTCCTCAAAGATAGTCTCATACTCGCGTATGGTACGTTTGAGTATCTTCTTCTCTTCACGTGTCTTCTCCAAGCATTCCCACAATTGTTCCAAATTTAAGGAGCTAATATTCTCGCTCGCGCTATTGGCCGCTGTCTGTGTGATAGCAGCCGCTGTTGTTGTTGTTGTTGTTGCAGCTGCCTCACCGGTTGTAGCACCCGTTGTTGTGGTAGTCGAGTCATCAGATGAAGCATTCGGCGCGGTCGCCGAGTCGCTAGGCGAATTCGATTCAGTGCTGTTGGCAGATGAGAGTTGGTGGGGTGTAAATTCGAAGACCATTGCTTCGTTTTCAAGTATGGTTGGCAACTCGGGTGCGCCGGCGACAGCGCTGCCCGATTGCATAACACTACGCAATACCATACGTTTGAGTTGACGATAACGATCGTAGATTGGTCGTGCCGCATCGCGTTCGTCCTTGGTGCCGGGGCGGCCGTAGAGCGACTCGAAATAGAGTAGACCATGCTGTACGGCGCTCTTTTCTTGCACCAGCTGATCGGCATTGAGTTCATCAAGCGATTCAGAGCGATTGGAGTCCTCACGCTTATCAGAGAGATTCTGCAAGGAAAAGAGAGCAAGAGTTGGTTATAATAGATAAATAAATTTTACGTGTAAATTTGCTACTCATGCATTGACTGTTAGTAATGTAAGATAAAGTTTTTTAGTTTCATAGACAACAATAATCGGGAAAACGCTAATCATTTCTCAATTAACAAATTGTAATTTTCTGAAATTCTACCCGCCTGAATTATAAAATTAGTGTTTCCGAAGTTCAGTAATATATTTAGTGCGTCCAAAAAGCGTTTCGTAAGTTCATAATTTTTGTGTTCCATAAGTTCAGATTAGTTATATAAATACTTGTCTTCTTTTTTTTTTGATTTAAAGAAAAGTTAGGATGAAAAGAGCTATTACATAAGTACTGTTAGGAAGTTATTTCAGTGAAGGCAACTATTTTTTCAAAACTGTACCAAATATAGATACAAAAAATTTTCTGGAATTATAGAATGGAATTGATATTATAAATATATAAAAATTGTGTTCCACAAGTTCACTTCAGGATTTCAAAGAAAGTTTTAGCAAAGAATACTCATAAAAAATTTAAGTTCTAAATGTTGGAGCATATAATTATACTAAATAGAGTAGGAATTAACTTTGCTCTCACATTTTTTCTTGAACTTCATTCGTCATATAATTTCACATTTTATTCCATTTCAGTTCTCAAAGCCGAACTAACGTGCTGGCACTTAGCGGTGCATAAATTTCGAAAAAATCGAAATTAGCTATAATTTACTAGTAATAAGATTACAAGTCAACCGAAAAATGAAATCATAACAGAACTTAAAAAATTCAATTCACGCTGATTCGCGAACAATTTTTGTGTTAATGAATTTTTTTTCCACTAACTGTAAGAGAGACATTCATTTCTATTTTCATATTCACCTAATTGCCCTTCATAGCTACGTTAGCCGTGTAATGCGTTGAATATGCAATACTAAGCAGATAAATTTACGACAAATTTTTGACAATTTTCACAATTTGTTGACATTTGCATTTAGCATTAATCAGGCGGCGGAGCAAAGCTACAAGCAGACTAAATATGTAAATGAATCTAAATGCATGCAATAGCAAATCACGAGCAAAGTAGAAAAAAATACGAAAAATGTTGAAGAAAAAATCACAAACATTGTCGAACCGCAAAAACGATAAGTAAAACTGTAAAACAAAAACTAACAAGCTCAAAACGAGCCAAAGAATACTGCGACGCAAATATGAAATGAAATATTCTGTCATGAATCGTATGAATTGTTGAATGTCAAAAAAAAAAAATTAATAAATAAAGGCAATAAGCCGAAAAGCCATACTCCATACCCCACTTATCTACGCGCTATGCTAGAGTATTGCTCTCTTATCAAATTTGAATTCAATACAAGAGAGTTTTTGGATGCTTCTTTAAAATGCTTGCTATACAAGCTATCGTTGATTATGCCAGTTTAAGCGATTTATACCAGTTTGTTCGATTCGCTACTTCTAAAGGTTTACCGAATCGAAGACAGCTAAAATTATACCTAGTTAAGTCTTCATAAAATAATGGTTAGTCCATTGTTGTTATCAAAGCATAACAGAATAAAATTATATATGTAGATAAACATTGCAGCAATATTCTAGAACACATAATTTTTATCGGAAAAAATGAAAATTTATTCTATACACCCGCATAATATGGCAATAATAATGAACTAATGAGCCACAAAAGCCTTTGTCATAAATTAATTAATGCAAAATAATAAATGTCACACCTATACTACTTTAATAGATTATGAGTGCGTCTAAATAAGGGATACTCAGTTCTATAATCGATTCAATTGTCTTGAGCTTTTTGTGTAAGCTTAAAGTTAGCGATTTTTATAGCTTCTTTTTACACAATTTGATTTAGTTATATTTTTGAGTTTTTCTCAAAAAGGTAATTGGATTTGCCCTAAAGCTATGAATATTATTCTAAGTTTTTTAAAAATAATTATTTTTAGTAATAAAAAATATTAATGGAGCTCTAAAGGGTGTTGTTTATTATACTCGAAAACGAGTTGGGCCTTTCAAAAACGTTTCTCATAAAATATAAACAAAAAACATGTGAAAATATAAATACTAAAATTTGCTGCCCTGAGAAAATATTACATCGGAAAAGAATAAGCGTTATTATAAGATGTCGATCGAATAAAAATTAAACACGGAATTCCATTTTGATGATCAATATAAAATAAAAATATACAATAATATTGCTCAATAAATAAAAAAAAATTGTTTATGACAACTTTTGTCAGGAATGGTATTACAAGCACTGTATTTTAATTTATCTTTTTTATCGTGAGATTAAGCAAAATCTTTCCATACTAAGGAACAAAATTAAATATCGAACTGAGTTATATGGTATATAAGGTCTGATAGTGTTCAATATGACAATCTTTAAAAGAAATTAAATATATATATAATGAAATATATTTCCGAAGGTGTAAAACAGTCTAATAAATCTTATAGAACTTAAAACATCTATTGGCTATTTTACTATGAATACAATTTTTTCAAAACTGACTAATATACTCAGTATTTTAAAAAAACAATATATCAAACGAAAATTTCAAAATAAAATAAAAATAGCATACAACTAAAAGTACATGGGAAAAGTGGCAACAAATGACTCAATCACAAGAACTTACAGACAGACAAAAATTGATTAGTATCGTTTACATAAGTCGTTGAACACAAATCTTCCGCGCCATAAGCTATAAAAGTACTAAGTCACTAAGTGCTGTAATGCAAATTTCAGAATATAACGTCACATGTGCAAATAAATATCTAGCAAGATCGGATAGCAAAAACAAATTTTTTTGAACAAAAATTCACGAGTGGAAAAACTTACTCACTAAATTTCAGCCAAATAAGACTAAGTGCTTTGAGCATTAGAATATTTAATTACATTTATATAGTATATTGTGTATATATTTATATATGTGTATCTGCATATTTTAATGTGTGGTATATGTTAGGTTAGTCTGGTAGGCAAATAAGCTACGCATAGACCAGTTTTGGTCCTTAGCGAATTTCGATATATAACGCTATATACATTTTCCCATTAGTTCTATTATACAACGTAATGTGCTTCTTTATTTTTTAGCAACCCATTAATGACAAGTGCTTTTGCAATTTCGCAGTCTCATCGTGGCACAATAATTCTTTCATTGCTTTTGTTGTTCTTTTTTTGTTTTGTAATTTGTATGACATTTAAATTTAGCAAAGTTTAGTCGCTTAAATGTGCGGCATTTACACGTGACGTAGGGCGCTTGCGTTTTGCTGCAGTTTTTTAATGTTTTGAAATATAGTCGTTAGCGAGTGGGCGTGTAGGAATATGTTGATATGTGTGTGTATGTTTTTGTCTGCGTTTCGCTTTCGTTTTGATTTTTACAGTTCGCATTTTTAATCTTTTTACTTTTTTTATACTAATACATATGCATAAAATTTTGTATATAAATAAATGAACTGTATTTCTTCACGCGGAAAAGGTTCGCGCGCTTGTCTGGGTCTGCACTTGTATATCTATACATACTTATATACACATAAAAGAGACAAAAGCAGACGTCATCTGTATTTGTTGTAGAGCCAAACAAGAATTATTTTTGTTGACTAAGATATATGGTATATAATAAGATAAGGGTATTATACTTCAACAGCGTAAAACCGCCCGGGGCACAAATATGGCAAATGAGTTCGAAATTGATAAAAAAAAAAAAAAACTATTTTTAACTATTTTTCGGACAGCGCTTATATAACCAATGAACTTGCAAAATCTAAACCATAGCTTATTTCAATTCGCTCAACTATATATACATATATCTAAGCATAGCTCCCCAAATCAATGAACATCAGCTTACCTGCTCAATCTCCTGCAAGGTTGTCTTCATTTTCTCCAACTTCTTGGCCGCGTCCATGCCACCGCTCACTTTCAAGCCCAGCGCGCCTAACGGGTCGACCTTCAACTCCTGCCGTTCCTTGCGCAACTTATTTATTTCAGCCAATATGTTCTTCATATATTTGTCGTTCATGCGCTCCGCCTGTGACGGGCGATAGCCCATGCGCATTTCATAAGCCTCTTCTAGTTGCACGAGCTTCTTCTTTAAAGCTGTCAGGCGTTTGTTAACCTGCTTAAGACGCTCTTCGGGCGATTGGAAAGACATCATTGCGGGTATGACTTGTTCCATAACATCGCGCGAAGTAAAGGCACGAAAAGTGCTGAGTGACTCCATGCAATCCATATCGTCATCGAAACGCTGAGCGGCGGATTGCTTGTGAAACTGTTGTGGATAGGGCATAACTTTGGAGAGCTTGGCCGCAGTATCGAGATTATCGACAGGGTGATGACGCACGGGCGCATAGCGACGGCTTAGCATCGGTGTGGCATCTTCGGGTACGCTGCGCCCCCAAGGCAGCGCCTCTTGTGCTGCAGTTAGCGGTACGCTGTTGTAGGCGCTACAAATGGCGCTCGTGCGCTTTACTGACTGTGACGTCGGCGCCGATTTGTTCTCTTTGGGCGCGGCAGTTGCGATGCCATTAACGCTTTTGAGCTGTAATTGCGTTGTTGGCGCCGCGACGGTCTGCGCTGGCGACTGTGTTGTCGGCGCTGGCTTTTGTGGCTGTTGATGGAAGTCAATTAGATTATTGTCATTGTGGTCGTTGGTGGCTCGTTCATTGCCGCTGCTATTGCCGCTACTGTTGCTGTTACTGCCATTAGCGATGCTGCCTTTCTTGCTAATGAAACCACGTCGTTCATACTTCATTGTGGATAGATCATATTTATAAGCGGAATTCTCATCAAAACGCTTCGAAGTAGCCAGATATTTAGCGGCGCTACTAGCCGCGCTGCTGCTACCGCCACTGGCGCTGCTCTTCTTCACAACGCCCACCTTGCGGCCGGGCGGCTGACGTGACTTGCATGAACGCTCGCTGCTGCGTCGACGCTCATGCTCGCATTCACTGTCGTCGCTGTCACGATGCTTGTTGCTGTTACCGTTAACGCCATTGGTGCGTATGGGAGAGAAGCGTTGCGAACGCGCCGGGCTAGTTTCGTAGCGTGAGCGACGCGTCATATCTTTGGTAGGCCCAGTGACCCAGGAGTCGCGGTAAACAGGTGCGTGCGCGGAGTCTTCTTGTTGCTGTTGTTGAATTCTTTGACGATTAGCTAACGCGCCGTCATTCTCATCCGCGGCGCTACGTTGTGATTGCTGCTGCGATTGACGCTGATTTAAGTCGGCAGCGCGACACTCGGCCGCTTCGCGCAACTCTTGCTCGTAAATAGCGTACGAGGCGGTCTTCTTGAAATCTTCCGATGAAACGCGTCTTATAACATCCGCACTTTTGTTTTCCTTTAGCGCGTTACTGCCGGCATTAAGCGCATCGGCGCTGCCTACCGTTGCGGCTTGCTGCTCTTGCGTGAGTAGCTCTTCGCTATTGGAGCGTTGTAGCTTACGATCCTGTGTTACCGATGAGGTGCTGTCAAGGCGTTCTTTACGCTTACGTGATTTTTGCCAATCCAGCGGATTAATCAATTCGGGTAGATATGTTGAACTAAAACGTGTTGATGCATTTGTTTGCGTACCGTTATTATTATTGTTATTGTTGTTGTTATTGTTATGTTGATTATTAATGCTGCTAATGTTTATGATATTATTGTTATTCTGCTTTAGTGTGCTGGCGACCAGGGCTAATGTGTTATTGGTCGTTTTGTCGGGACTAGCGAGCGTGGTGAGTGTGCGGTGAACGCACTCGACGCTGTCAACGCCCTCCTTATGTGCGGGCGTGTTCGCCGCCGACGAAGAAGAGGACGATGATGATGAAGAGGAGGATGATGAATTACTGTCACAAGATGCTGTCGATGAGGATGAACCAGTGAGACGACTGAGGTCGTCTTCGCTTAGTCCTGTGGTGGGATGGCGCATGCCGCACTGTAAAAGAGTAGAGAGAAAAATTAGAATTTTTTTTTTTGAATTATAATAATGACCTGTAATTTATTCATATATATCTTATATATCGATTCATTTTAAAATTCACTTTATAGCTGAATAATCATATGTAGGCTTAGCTGATTGTTATTTACTTTACAGTAATCAACTGTAACGTATATCTTTATTGTAGCAATAACTCATTACTATTAATTTATTTCATATAATTAAAATTACAGCAATAATCGTGCTCAACTGAGCTTTAGCTGCTTAATATTCTGTGTTACCGCAAAAACTGTGAATTCGCGTGCAGCTAAAAAGCTTACTAATAACCAGTTAATAGCATTTATTTGATCATAATTAAAACGCGAATAAACTAAAACCTTTTAATTGTTCTATAAACGGGCTTTATATGAATCTAGCGATATTGCGCCGGGGCGTATGAGTAACATTTTAATAATACGTCGTCATACAAGTTTTTTTGTTGCGCTTAAAAGTAAAATCTCAAAACATTAATAATGCTAATGCAGTGTTCAATTAACTAAATTGTGCAAGAAATATTTAATTTTTTTTTTTTTAAATTATTTAAATATTTTTTGTTGGTGAATTTAAAATCAAGATTTCAACTTGTTAACTCACTGCATTTGCTTAATTGTATTTATGAGGTAATTTTATAGCATTACACTTACTTGTAGATGTAGCAAAAGATAAGTTTAGCCAAGCACTTAATTAATACAATAAAAAATATTAACGAAATTTCTTGCTTTCAAATTTCACCCAAATGAAGTGGCACTTATTTTTTAGTACACGTATGTATGTAGGTATGTATGTATTTATATAAAGAAGTATAAGATATAAATCTATACATAATTGAAAAATAATAATCGATCATATGTGTCTCAAGCTTATTGTGACTCAATTCTTATTGGTAATTAGCTTTTCTTGTTTGTAAAAAGTAAGCCAAAAACATACTTACTGCTTTTTATAATCGAAAAATACGTGATGAATATTAAAAAAAAAAACTTTGAAGTTAACAGTATTTTTGCTCACTTGCTTTCTATTAATTTAACAAAAAAAAAGTTATTGCAATTGTTTCGAGCTAGTTGCAAACTAGTACCTAAAACACCACTTTAGGATGAGTTTGAAAAGTAATGAACTTAATAAAGATATAAAAATAATTCGATTTACAGTTACAAACTAATTCCGATATCATGATTTTGGCTGTAGTCACAAACTAGTTGCGAAATCATGATTTTAGGCGTAGTTGAGTAAAGCAAAGGAAATCACTTAAGTAAACTGGACAACTTCAAATTTTACTACGCTTTAATATTTAGCCTCATTAACGCTTTACTTAACCTTATTTGGACAATGAACACAACCAAAGATTACATAATAAACTGACTTATTTATAGAAAAGATTTTTTTTAAATTAAATTATTACCAGTATGTAAGTGATGAGTCTCGGTGTCATATTGTTTATTCTAAAATACTTGTTTTCGAAATACTGTAAAACGTTTCAAGCTTTTATTTGCTTAATTTTCTTTATTTTTTCGAAAATATTTTCGATTTAATTCTTTTATAAAGGAATGAATTCCAAATCACTTTATCGCTAATCACCACAAGGTGTTCAATGCGTTATCTTGCAGGGTTGCTTTTGAATCACACACCCATTAAGTTACGTATTTTTTTTATCAAATACGCTAAACACTGATTGCTTTCAATTGAATTCAATTATTTCGTCGCGCACAATTTGAATGGCAAATGATTCTTACAACTTTGTTTTATTTTCTGTTTTTCTTTATTTTCAAATTGGTTTGCTGAAGAAATCTTTCGGCTATTCAGGCTGCTTTCAGCGTTTATCAAAGTGCCGTTGGGCGCGTTCCCAAGTGGCACTCCAGTTGTAGTTTTGGCGTAGAAAATTATTAACAATTTTTTCCCTGACCATTCGATTAACGTGCATAGACGTTGCAGTAAATTATTTTTACAATTTTATTATATTTCACAATGTTGTAATACATATATTTGTTATTGTTTCTTTACCGTTCGGCCATTTACCGAATCACTACAAAAGTTGTTGTTCTCTTTGCGAAATCTGTTTCAATAATAATTTCATTACCGCAGCGACAGGCCATATTATATATGCGAAAAAGTGCCGCCTCCAATGACACTCCACGCTCTCAAATCGAAAAATTTTATATCCATTGCATATACTCTTTACATATGAGCGCATCGGAAAGTGACAACAACTTGTGCTCATACTTATATTTATCTTTGATATCTTTTGACTTTGCGCTCAGCCTGCTCCAATTCGATTGGCGAAAGAAGCGAGCGCCAAATTGCAATCGGGGCGATCACTACTGAGCGCTCACAGTTGAGCTATTTTGGCAGACCGGCGGCTGACGTGAGAGCGGTTAAGTTCATTGAAAAACATTGTCGATAAGATATAAATGCAATGAACGAAGGCGGTGAAACAAAGTCGCCTATTCAGCCCACTCACGCTACACAAGTTGGAGTAGTCATGGCTGGCACAGAAGTTAGCTAAATAAATCACATCGTTGAGTAGACCGGCGTTTGAAGTGCAGGCCGCCAGACTGTTCTACGTCATTTGGTAGCAACTTTGTCATGCGTTAAGAGCGAGAGTGATAAGTGATAAAACTGTAAGAGTTGTATCCAACGAGTAGCCACAGGTTCTGGGGGCACAATGAGTGGAAGTGTTTTGAAAAATGTGCGCTAATGCAGACATGCCAGATTGCTTGTTAAGAAGCTGAAGTTTCATGCTTTATTGACTGTCTGAACTGAATTTTTAGGAATAATCAGGTTCGATATTATTTTAGTTTAAGAAATCAATACTTTTTTTTCGTGAGGCCATTGAAATCTGTTGACGCAAATTTTAGGTTATCGGTATTATTTTTCAAAGGTTTCTAAAGACGACTTAGTTCTATTCATCTTACTTATTTTTATCGACACTGTCTGTCTACTGTCTATAATGTATTCATTAGAGAGAGAAGAACGGAGCACCTTCTATTTCCTACTAATATATTTCTAGGTATTTAAACATACAAAAATTATCATTAAATTTGCCAAATCTGGCATCTTTCTCATTGTTATTAATTTTTCGAGAGATCCTATGAGTGATTTTAAGTTAAGTCTCACTTTGTGATATTCTAACAGGTGCATACAAGCCCTTTAGTACTTTCTCAATTCGCTCACTACTAATTTTGTGCCACTCTCTCTATGCTCGCTTATTTGCTCTTTCAAAGTCTGCACGTCAATATTTGATGAAATAAACATTGTTGTGATTTTGAATTCCACTGTTCGTAATAGGAATGTATCGTCAATATATTAACAAATAAAATTTATGTAAATGGTTGCTAATTTTTCTGAACAAATATTTGTGCCGTATTTTTAAGCAAAGTGTTAAAACTTTATTAAAAATAGATAATAAATTTCACATTATTTATGACGTGAAATTTATTGACCTGCACATATCACAGTTACAAATTTGATTAGCATTAAAAATTATGGGGTCAATAAAAGCGAAGTTCGCACGACGGCCATTAGACCAATAAAAATTAAATCAGTAAATATTATTATATTGAAATTGAAAACAAATCAAAAATTATGGCTCAAAATATATGCATATGTACCTAGGTATGTGTGCAGGTATTTAAAATGTCATGCGATTGTCATTGAGTACAATTACTTAAATTGTTATAACAAAAATTAACGCCGCATTTTTATCGTCATTAGAAGGCACGTTTCTTTTAAGAATTAAGAACTGTAGACATTTCGGGAATGGTAATAACGGCGAGCAAATAACAGTGCAATTAAATCATAAACCTAGAGTTTGACAATAGACTACAGTCATAAACTGCCATGTTTATTTTTAGTTGCGAGTGTTGCTCTGAGTAGGCAGTTATAATACGTATATCGGTAGATTTATTAACTATCTTGTTTTCTACGAAAATCAGAATACAACATACTATTATACACATATTATCAGAAAACATCAAGTAAAAAGAAGAAGAGGTACAATAAATGTTTTACAAGTTACACACGATATCCGAAGGCGCAAAAAAACGGTTATCTGGTAGTGATTTTGGCTTTCTCAGTGGATGAAACCAAAAAAAAAAAAACTCTCTACTAAAAGGTATACTCGGTACAACGGACTAACGAGACTTGATTAGAATGAAAGGGAAGTATATAAACTGTTTTTTGTACCTCTACTAAATTTTACAAGTAATTTTTGAATTATATTAACAGTAATTCTTAAGTGCTACAATACATTAAATTTTTTTTTTTTTTCAAAATAAACTAGAAAAAAGTAAACGAAATTTTGCACCAGAAATTTTTCTCTCAACACTTTCGACTGAGTCATAGAATCATCAACAGATAATATATAGGAACGGTTCTTAAATGAAGACTATTGATATATACACCGACGCAACCAATATACGTCATAACATGAGACGGCAAACAGCACGACTTTTCGTACAATAAATAATTAAGCGATGTTAATTGAAAGTGTAGGAATGTATGGAAAAGAATTTCATACGCACGACGCTGCGGAACAAATGAGAGCACCCGTCAATCAAGTGTGAAGATTTTTAGATTTACAAAACGATTTTTTCTATTTAAAAAGATTTTTTGAAATAACAAAACTTTTGTATATCAGGTTATTTTAAAAAGATGAGGCAATAACGTCGAATAAAAATTCGGTCTACATTAATGCGCAAAACATATAACTATGGAACATTTTATCGAAGCCACAAACCAACTAAGAGTGCGATACGAAAGCTACTACGGATATTGAATGATCTTTAAAAGTTGCCATTATGAACAGTCTTCGATTCGCTAAAGTTTATGAAGTGACGAATCGAGCAAACAATTTGCAAAATAAATGAGCAGCAGCATATGAGAAAGTAGTGAAACGGATTTATTATGTTTTAATGAGGCACATACATAATTTCTTATATTGAATTCAACTGCCTAACCTTAGCTAT